GCGGGGGAGCGAGCACAAGCTCCTGGACCGCGGCTTGTTGCCATTCATAATAATTGTTTTGGAACAACAATCCCCCTTTATTGTGTGCGGCACGGCTGCCAACGGCCGCGCTGTGCCCCCGCGAGCCTTTTATTATTTTACATACCTACATTCCGTTTGCTGGGCAATTACTGGAATGCGATTCGCGCGCCGCTTTGCCCCTCCTCTCGGCACAGAACCAGAGAAACGTCCGGACATTATTTTACAACCAAAGGGATTCAAAATAATAATTATCATGAGACAGATCTTTCCTCGTCAACACTGATAAACTAAGTGTGCAACTGCTTAACACTTGTGCAGTTAATACTTGCACACTTGCAAGTGCAGAACTACGGAGTTCCACACTTGCAATTATTCAACTTGCAGTTGCACACTGCTTGTAAGCATTAAACTGGAAGTTGCAAACTTACAAGTGCTTAGCAGTTGCACACTTAGTTTAACAGTGAAACTGAGTCCACGAACCCCACTAACCGCTGCTCGCCATCCTGTTCACAGGTACATGCTCAAGGCCCTGGACATGCTCTGGCACGAGGACTGCCTCAAGTGCGGCTGTTGCGACTGCAGGCTGGGCGAGGTGGGCTCCACGCTTTACACCAAGGCCAACCTGCTGCTTTGTCGAAGGGATTACCTGAGGTTGGTTTTGCGGTGCAACTTCTTGCTTGTTAGATGAATTGTTAGTTTGAGTGGGCGTAATGTTCTGACGTTGTCCATTTGTGCGTCCTTAGGCTGTTTGGCAGCACGGGCTACTGCGCCGCCTGCTCCAAGGTGATCCCGGCCTTCGAGATGGTTATGAGGGCCAGGCACAACGTGTACCACCTCGAGTGCTTCGCCTGTCAACAGTGCAGCCACAGGTAAGGAAGTTGACAAATTCTCATGCCGTTTATGTCTGAATGCAACAATAAGTGCGCGGTGTGCAATTTAGCTGCAGCAGCATTGTGATTTGCATCGTGATTTACTGCCCTCATTATAGAGACAGTCCCAACGCGTACGCAAAAAAAGGCATATATCTCATTGAATGCAGTCGCATGCAATAATTTCATCGAAGAGGGGCGACGCGACGGATACATTGCGGAATAATGCATCAATATCTTTTTGTTGAAAAATGTCGCGGAAACAACTGCTTTTTACTTCGTTTTTTAAAATTTCTGTTTCTAAAAGTATGGTTTCTCTGTTGTTTAGGTTTTGTGTTGGGGACCGCTTCTACCTGTGCGAAAACAAGATTCTTTGTGAGTACGACTACGAGGAGAGGATGGTCTTCGCCAACATGAGCCAACAAACGTCACTACCACCGCTTAAACGGCAGGCTAACAACAACAACAACATCACCGTCGCAAACAACAACACAACGAACAGCAACAACAATAACAGCAACGTGAGTATACCGAGGGTTTTATTCAAACAGGCCGAAGTGGACCCATAGAAGTAAAGTGGCAGGCCATAATCTTTCGTCTTATTTTTCCCTTCCAGCAACAACAACAACAGCAACAGCAAACGTCAGTGCAGTGCAACGTGACGGTCAACGAGGACAACGTGTCCCCACCCGGCCAGCAGCCACTCCACGTGCACGTTCAGGTCTCGTCCGGCTATCACCACCAGCTTCTCGACCCGGTCGGAGGGAGGTCCAAGTAGTGGCCGCCTCCGGGACCTCTGCTGCGCGGGCCAAAACCAATGACTGTTAAACACTGTGGGGGCGCGCCTCTAAGGCGGCCCCCTCTCTCATTGTTAAAAGTACTCTATGATCTCAAATGTGAGAGCTATTTTCCTATCTCGACTCATTAATTTAGGTGTGGTGAAGATGTTTTAGGAATCCTGACTCTGCCATTAGACCAGCTTATGTCCTTGCAAGGAACATAGGAACTTGTGATTCCTTCTTTGTATTTGTCTAAGATATCTATTTTATAGTGGCTGTGCAATATTCGTAGAAATATTTATGTTTCCACGTGTAAGATAATCATGTATAGTTTGTTTTTATTTGTTGTTTAAAACAAAATTGACTGTGAATCAGGAAAACGCCACGTTGTTGTGGCCTACAGTTTGTTACTGCTTTGTTTTCTATTTATGTTCATTTGGAAGCTGCTTGAACTGACATACGCTTAAACATGAATTATTCTTTCATGTTGATTTTCAAGTACTCTATGGCATTGCTCTCTCTCTCTTCCAAATCAGCGACGACCTAGTCGTTTAATGTGAAAAAAAACTCTTGTTCAAATAATTTTTTTTCTCATTGTTCTGTTATTATTCTTACTATTCGTTGTTAAATTTTACTTTGTTAAGTATTTTCGTTGTATGTGCTAATCGTTGCGTCGCCATATAGACAGGAATGAAAAAAATGAAAATCTTTTAAAACTTCTCTTTTTTTACCAGTCCCACTCTTCCCTCGTCATGCCTTTTCCCGCCCCACTCTCCACCAGGGTTTTACTTCGTTTTTTAGCTCGCCGTGCATTTGTGCACAAGTGGCCACACAGTGGACACTATAGACGCCGCCCCGCCGGCCGGCCGGCCTCGCCACACCCCGACGGTTTGTTAGAGTTTGCTGCCCCGTAAGGCCACGCGCCATCAAGTTGGCTGTTTATACCGGGACGCGTTCGTAAGCAGCGCCACGACACCCACACACGCCGCCCGCCTCTCGCGTGCCCCGGCCGCTTCGCACGCGTCCCCGCGCACTACACAGGGGGGCCCTCTCCCAGTTTGCAGTGGCGTGGCGCGGCCGCGCTGCCCCAGTGGTGGCCGCCCACCCACCGCCCCCGGGCTTCGCTGAATTAATCGAGCTTATAAACGATTTACATGGACAATAAATACCTGCCCGGTGTGTGTGTGTGCGTGCGGTGGTGGTGGCGGGGGTAAGCGGCGCAAAGCCAGTTCTGCTACCGCCGCTTCGCCGGGCCATCCCTTATCCCTCCACATCCAACCCCCTGCCTGCCCCCTCCCATTTCACGCAAACCTCCCTCGACTCCTCTCTATTATTTTCACGTCGCATACATCGCTGTAAAAATATTTGTGCCTGATCGACTGCTGTGCGCATCGTGCGGCTGAAAGCAGAGCGGAGGCAGAGCGACGGCCGGACCGGCGATCAATTGCACAAACAGCGCTTGCCGTGGCGTGCAGCGTGCATCACGGGCAGGCGGGGGCAAACAGGCAATGATCATGCGCGTCCATCCCCTTCACGACTAAAGACCTAATGGCAAGCGATGGACGCACAAAAAAAATATAGTACCAATCAGCTTTGTTGTTGGACTAGCGGGTGAAGTTGTTAAAAAGGGAATCAAAAAAAGTTGAAAATTCATGGGAGAGGATTTTTTTTAAAGCCAGCGGATTGTGTTTCAGAGCCGCTATTGGTCGCGCGTCACACAGCGGCATAGCGTGTGCGGAGATAAAGCAGGGACAATGCGCCCCTGCACCGCGCGCTGCAGCGCTGCACCCAGCGCAACCGGGCGTTAGTCGCAGATAATCCAGCGGAAAGGGGCCAGACCATTGAGAGGCTCCGGTAACACTGGCGCATGGGCATGGGGGGCAGGGCGGGCGGGGCCACACACTGGTAAAGTATTCATTCGGCTATTATAATGTTTCGAAAAAGCACGCGAAAACAACGAATGGCCCACCAGTGGCTAGGGGGAGGGAAAACAATGCACACTGCTGCTGCTGTGTCCGGCCGGCGATCACCCCCTTCCCCTAACCCCTCAAACCCCCTCTCTCATAGAACTTGAGTTATTCCCCCCCGCCTCTGTCGCGGCCTCTGTGACACGGGCGCAATGATTAGTGAGGGCCCGCAGCTTAACGGTAATCCGGCCGCCGATGGCGATTTAAACCTCTTTGGTAGTGCAGACTA